TGTACTGATTGGCTCCGAAGTATATTCAATTGTTACTTACTTACTTTCGGAAAACTCAGACGATGGCAATGGTGACTGTGCGCAAGCGCAGTAGTCCCAAAAAGGTATTACGTCAGCCATGGAATGCGCTGACGTTGCAGCTTTCACTTTCGCTACGCGACAAACAAGATCGTGTTTACTTTGCAAGTTTATTTCGCCAGAGGCGACGGTCATTAATTTATTTGCAATTTTGCGAGTATTTCTTGTGGGTTTAGGCAAACGAAGTGAATTCTTTGGCTGTTTCATCGCAGCGAGTTAAGAGACCTGAAGGAAAATTGAATATTTGCTAAGGCAAACAGGAACTTGCCAGAACTTGCTGCGTTTATGTCAATGCTTGGGAAAAAACCACAACCGTTCTAAAATTAGCCGTGGATAGTGTAAACCTGGGATTGTGTGACTCGCGTGACTACTTTGCTTGTCCTTTACACGTAGCACAAACAAGTTAAAATTTGACTCTTAAGGAAGAAAGCTGTTTATAATAGCGTGACACTTGTTTCCATTTCGTATCATTCATGGGCATGTCCCGAGCGAACTCCCAGATTAAGATCATTACGTCATCATAGATTTCACAAAGGCTAAGAGCGATGGTGCAATAACATAGTTTGTGTTGATTAAATGATGTGATGTCGACAGTAATCAATGAATCATCAAAATAGAGAACAGTGAACGGTCTACCTCTGCAAGGGCTCTTGACGGTCTGTTGTATCTGTTGTCTGTTGCACGCTTTCTTTTCAGTCGAACAGAGACTGGCTGTGAGAAATACCAATGGCAACTGGAGAGGAAGCAGAACAGCCAAACAAAGCATTCCAGAAAGGCTATTGGAGTGAGGAAGATGAAGCAGATGATGACTTCTTCCCCGAAGAGGACGATGACATTCCCGAAAGTATTCGCAAGAAGCGTCTTCAATACCAGAAGGAAGTTCGAGAGGCAGGGATGCTGGAAGTAAGAAGCCAAGATGACTGGAAAAAGGCTGTCGTTGAAAAACTGAGAGAAGCTAAAAGTGATTTTTCGGAAGCCAAAGTCGACATAATATGTGACCGAATAGAGCAAGCAGGAAAGGCAACCTGTCGTGTTAGCCGTTCTGTCAACAGCCCTGAGCGAATCACATTCCATAAGGACCAGATGGAAAAGTATGACAAAGAAAAAAATGAGATTTGGAAATATCACAAGGAAAAGCTGAAGAGGGCCGAAGACGGTAAAGGGGGTTGTGGCACTGGCTTCCTGATCTCTCCAAAGAATGAGCATGGCTGGTTAGTGATAACCAACAACCACGTTATTATGAATGAGAAAGAAGCCAAAGGTGCAATAGTTGTGTTTGACTACCTTGTGGACTTCAGTACCGAAGGCTCTTGCCGCTTCGAGGTGTCAGGAGTTTTGTCGAAATCCGATCGCACAAGACATGCAGACGATTTCGACTCACTGGATTTCAGCCTGTTGACTCTGCAAGTAGAGCCTGATCAGGACAAATACCTCCTGGATCGAGCTTTAAGATTTGAAAAGATAGGTAGCACGATGGCTGCTTTGACACCTTTTATACAAGTGCTCCAGGGAATCGAATTCTCACCAATTATAGGGTTTTCTCACCCTCATGGTCTGGCCAAACGTTTAAGCATTAGTAAATATGACCCCACAAGTAATGATTATCCCGTAGCTCACATCCAACACGACTTGCCTACTTTCAGCGGAAGCTCGGGTGCCAACCTGCTCCTTCCCAATTTGGATGATAATGTTTTTATGCAATGGAGGGCTGCTTTTCTGCACTACCGTTCCAAGAAAGCTGTATCCTGGAAGGCAATCGCAGATCACCTCCAAGAGTACAGCATTTAAATCCACCTACACTTTCCGAGGACTAGGGACCTGTACATTCTTTGTTTTGCCCATCGTTCGATTCTATTTCTGCATTCTTTGTAACCCCATTACGAGTATCAGTGGCTAGAGCAGAAATTGCTTGTAATAATTAAGCTGTTGATCGATTAGCTAGATGCTGTTTCGCATGGTCAAATATGACCTTTTAATGAAAAAAAAGGAAAACCGAGAATAATAGGTTGTAGAGTCATGATTTTATGGTAGGGGAAGTGACAGCTTTCACTGAAAAGAATTGGTGAATTTTCACAAGATATCTAACTGGAGTTTTGAAAAAGGGGTCTGTTAATTGTCTTGTAAAGTTATTTTTGTTCGTAAACTTTTCAAACCAGTTTGACTTGAGTTAGTCTTAATTTTTCGATTTTCTTGTTTTCAATTTCAATTTGACTTTGATTTTTCTAGATGAAGGTAGGGGCTGTGGGTCAGAAACATGCAACACTGTCAAAATCAATTGAAACTGGTTTGTTAATAAGTTGAAGCCAAACGTAAACTTTAAGCACAACAGGGTTGTAAGTACTGATCTTACCTCTCAGAGCTGATGGGCAGGTCAACCTTACATGAGCTCAGACAGTGACTTTATCTGAGTGCAAAAGGACATGTTTTTTCACAGAAAATGTATGACCTTGAAACATAGAGCCATGTCAATTCCTGGCCTTAATAAGTCTCGAGTCACTCTGACAGTTGCTGAGTGGAGAACATTGTATGCACTTAGCTTTCCAACGTGACACAATCCTTAAAGTACATGGAATTTCTCAAAGCTGGATGGGTTTATTGCCTTGGCTGCCCAGTCTTATTAGCCCATTAAGGTTATTTCTGGCAGCCAGGCACTCTTTTTTTATCTTAAACTTATTGTTGTTGAGTTAATTTTTAGCTTAGTGATTACAAATAATGTTGCTGTTGTTGTTTGCAATTTAATTATTTAACGTATTTAACTTGCTTTGATGCACTTCTGAACTTTAACAGTTTAAAAGATTATCATTGCACACTATTTACAGAAAACAACTTAACATAAGATGGCTTACAATGAGACATAAATTGTTTTCCTCTAGTGCCTTGAAACTTGGGTCTTTCCTAAAAAAAGGAATAAATCTGAAGATTCATGGAAATAAATTTTACCATAAATTTCATTTTTTCTTTCATCAGTTGTGAGAAGTTGGTTCTAAAATATAATTTATAAACATGTACTTCGACTAGTTATTTGGGAGGCTAATGACCTGGTGGTTAGTGTGCCTGACTCCAGGTCAAGCAGCCCTGACTGCGGTTATCGTGTTGTGTTCTTACGTTGTTAGGCAAGACACTTTTTTACCACAATTGCTACTAATCTCGCAATCTGATTGGCTCATTTGCCTTTGTCGATAAGAGTCCAGACAACGCTGCTCAGGTCAATGTGTCAGGCAATGCCTTTTTCAGGTCGCGCTCTGAAAATAACATTTTCTGTGGCGTTGATATTGTGGTAATAACACAAATCGAATGTGGTTTAATGTTGTCTGTACTCTTATCGACAACAATATGCATCATCACAGTGGTCAAAATTTGTTGTGGACTCACGAGGCGCAGCCGAGTGAGTCCACAACAGTTTGATCACTGTGATGACGCATACATAATTCTTGTTGAGAGTCTTGTTCAAGAACACAACACAGTCACACTATGCAGAGGGACAATTATAACAAGGACTGCACAGGGGGTGGGGCTGGGGCGGGGGGGCTTTAGCTCTTCCACTTTATTTGGCGAATTAAATCACTATTTCTTTTTACTTAAGTAAACCAGGTCTGTCTTTTACAAAAAAAAGTACATTACATTATTCTATGTCAAATATGTGGACCAAACAAGATCAAAGACCAAATATGCAGATCCAATAAGATCAAGCAGCTTTCTGAAGCCAAAAAGTGTATGATAAGTGAAATTATAACCATATGTAAACTTCTTGTAAATCCAGCAGCCAGTGCAGCAGGCGAGAGATCCTTGTCTTCTCCTCGGAGACTGAAAACGTGGCTACGCTCGACGATGACACAAGCAAGATTTAGTAATCTGACAATACTTAACACCCACAAACAGAGAATAGACAAAATTTGTCATATAGATGTTGCCAATGAGTTTGCAGCTCTCAATGACAATTGAAAAAGCAACTTTGGCACCTTCAAAGAATCCGACTTAAAAATGTCCAGGTGACACTCCACTGTTGCGTCTGTTGGGTTTAGATTAGAGGTTAGGCTGTTCATTCAAGTTGAATTTGGCCAACGGAAAGGCCACTTTGTTACTCGTTGTTTTGTAATAATTAAAAATTAACTTCACTATTGACAGTTTTAGATCCATTTCTAACCATTTCAGAAGACTTAAATTTCAAATTTTCCCAGGGGAGCATGCCCCTGGACCCCCCTTAACTTGGCTCACGCTTACGCGTTTGCANCCCCCCCCCCACTCGAAAATTCGCTCCGCAGGGCCTGTATAATAGTTCTGTTCTCCATATAGAGGAGTTATAGTTTTCAAGAAAAGGTATAAATTTAAAGATATAGCCAGGACCTGATCAACATCCAACTTACCGTGTTGTGAATAAGACGAGTGTGCTGATGTTCAAGCGTCTCTAAACGAACTTCATGATCAACTGACAGGCTGACTCTTGCTGGTGGCTTCGTCTGCACAGAATATTGAAAAATTGAAATACCAGCAGTTCATAAGAAGACCTGAGCAGTATGCCACTAGTAAGTTAAACTGAAAGGTACGTAAAGTCTGTGCTCAGGCCTTGTCTTGCCCAAGGACACAACACAATGACCTCGGCCAGAGTTGCTCATTCTAGAGTCAAGCACATCAATTAACTATTAGGTCGCTATGATGTGGTACAAAGAATAGAATAAATTCTTTTACAGTTACTACGATTATCAGTTGAGTAACTTTCCTCGTTTCCAATGGTAGCAATAATAAATTTGTCGCCGCAGTTTTGCGCGGTTTGCTGCCAATGATGTCAACGGATAACAAGTTACCACTGGGAATGGCGCCAGTCAACTGATAATCGTAATATCAAAGGTAGGACATTATAATGCCAAAATAGTGAATGTCAGGTCAATTCAGAAATAAAAATAACAGTCTGAAATCTAACAATAGATGACTCAACAATGTGCCTCATGTCATGTCTGTTTACAGATGGCCCGGGTCTACAATGTCAACTCAAATGACAGAGAATATATCATATATCAGAGCAAAAACGAGGATATTGGTCAAGCTGATTGACAGAACTTATTTCTCCCTTTGTGGGAGGGAAAGTGGCCTCATGGTCAGTGCACTCATCACTCGATAGAGCCGATAATCATGCTACAGAAACCGGGATAAGCTCTGGCCTGATGGGCCACTCGGCTCATATACAGACTTTACCTTGAGTTTTTATATTTTTCCCTCTGGGTTTACTCTTGTCCTGCTCTAATTAGAGTTTCATGTACAACGTAAGCCATACAGCTCTAGCGGTATCAGCCAGCCACGAAGGCGAAAGTGACGAGGAGCATGAGGCACATACAGTGAAGAAGAGTTAAAATGAAGTAGTCTTTGGTTAATTTGCAATGATTTATCTAAAGAACGTTTGAGATATCATTAAAGCTTGTAAAACTATCAATAAAGCACTAAAGACTTAGTCTAGGAAAAATACTTCCTTTACAATTATTTAGCAACTTAGGCACGTAACATTGAAAATCGACAGAGACCTTTACAAT